TGGACAGTTTCCTAACCTCTAGGATCAACAGTCTCTGAATCAGAAAACGAGGCTAGAGGGGAGTGGAGGGTTGGCAGTGCCCTCCTAGTGAGGGGGGGTCGATCTCATAAAGCACCTTAGCACAATGCCGGGCCCTCCAAAGTGAGGAACACCAAAGTTAAACAGACCGAGTGCCTGCAGTGGGCCAGGCTTCTGTTTCTCACTAGTCACGGAGCTGCCAGGAGTGGCCCGCCCAGGGCAGATCTCAGCAGTATGCCAGGGCTTTGGAAAAGAAAACAGAATAAGAAAAAGTTGCTCTTACCAAGGCCGAGAAGTTGCCAAGAAATTCAAACTTTAAGCATTTAAGCTCCAAAAAGAGTGATGGCAGAGGATCTGCTGAAGAAAAACATGAAAACAGCGAAGTAACTGGTTTTTCTTACATAGCACACCCCAAAGCATTTTCTAGAAGATCCACATTTTCCACCCTGATACCTGGGGTGATTGCTTCTACACAAGAAAAGGTCAGCTCTAGGTTTTCCTACCCAAGGCTTCCAGAACCATTATATCAAAGGGAACTATTCTTCCCCTTTAACTTTCCTAAGAGCTGCCCTGGCATTTTAACATCTCAACAAAACGACAAACAAGCAAGCGGTACCCAAACTGAAGCAGGTGGCCTGGAAAAGTAGATTCATGTTTTGAAGCTTCACCGGCTTGCCCGGAGTGACACCCATGACACTCACGCTGCCGGGGGACCCACCGCAGCCGGCTGGCCCCACCACCTGGAGCCCAGGACTCAGGACACCTCTGCTGGGAGACAAGCCTGTGAGGCAGGTGATCGGTGTCATCACCATTCTCTGATGAGTCACAGGGTTGGTGACACCAATCTAACACAGTCCAGCCTCAGAAAGTGCTCCTTCCTTCCCCTCGACTGCCTGGCGCAAGTTTTAACTCAGTGCACACCTGCCGGGGCCCCCATACCTGGCTGGCACATGGCAGGGAAGCGGGAAGGGCCCTATCAGACTTCGAATGCCAGGTGGAGGGGCTCAGGATGAACTTGACACTTCCTGGGCCGCCACTGAGGCTGAGAGCAAAGAAGGGACCGGTCACCAGCATTAAAGAATGTGGGGGTGGGGGTGGCACTGGAATGGGGGTGCAAGGGGCGAGGGAGTAAGAGAGGCAGGCCCTCTCTGTGGTCGAGGCAAGCGCCCTGTGAGAATCCGGTCTGTAAACAGCCAAGACCGACCCAAAGGGGGGAGAGCTGCCTCGGCAACCAGCAAGGTGCCCCTGTTGGGTGGTAAGTGTGGGGGCAGGGGCCTCCCCTCCTCAGCACACCCCCCGCTGAGATCCAAAGCTGTCTTCTGACTCCTGGGGCGAGGTTTTCAGGAGGCAAAGCTGCAGGAATAGCTTCCTGATGGACACCCCACCTGAGTGGCAGGTGAGGCCACACCCAGGCCTGGCATTTGGCTGCCAACTGCACAAAGGATACAAGGAGCCAAACAAGTAGTTTCACGGGAGGCTGAACGCAGAAAAGGTAAAGCATTTCCTGCTTTAGATCTGAAGCAGCCACTCAACCTGAAGGTCTGGATTCTACTCTATTCCAGCTGTTTTTCTAATGAAATCTGTTGAAATGAGTAAGTCAGAAAGTCATATCCCATCTGCTGGGACACACCTATGTTGTCAGAACAGTGGCCCCCAAAGATGCCCATGCCCTGTGTGACCTCATGTGGCAAAAGGGACTCTGTAGATGTGATGAGGTTAAGGACCTCGAGATGGGGGGTGGCCCTGGTCGGTCCTGTGTTCTGACAGGGTCCTTATAAGGGAGGCAGGAAGTCAGCCAGAGGAGGGAGATGTGGTGACAAGCAGAGGTTGCAGTGGGCTGACAGTCCCCACCCCACAAAGATAATTCCATTCAGAACCTCAGAATGTGATCCCGTTTGGAATAGGGGTTCACAGAGGTCACTGAGTGAAGGGTCTCCAGGTGAGGTCTGGCTGGGTCATCCAGCTGGGCCCTGAATCCTGCGACAAGCGTCTTACAAGAGATAGAGGGGACCTGGTGCCGAGGCAGGCAGAGGCCAGAGGGGTGCGCCAGGAGTCCGAGGACTCTGGGGAGCCCAGGGGTGGGGACAAGGAGGGCTCCTTCCTCCGAGCCCCAGAGGGGGCTCATCCCTGCCCACACCCTCATCCTGGACCTCGGGCCCCCAGAACCAGGAGAGAGCCAGCTTAGCTTCCCTTGTTTGAAGCCTCCCCCACAACCCCCACCCAAGTGGCCCTTTGTCGTACAACCCAGGACAGTCCCACAGGGCTCTTCACAGCACTCAGGCGGCACACATGTGCTGGGGTTTTGCCCCACCAGTGGTCTCCAGGCCCCCAACGCTGCCTCACATGGATTGGAGGGGTGGCCTGGCCTCTAGGCCCCTTCCTGTCAGAGCAGACCGCCTGGCGGGAGGGGCTCAGGGGTGCGAGCTGGAGAGGTCCCCGCATTTAAAGGGGTTCCTCAGACTCCCAGTGGACCCTCAAAGCAGAACAAGCGGGATATGAATCCCCAGCCCTCACAGCGCAGGTCCCTGACCCACCTGATGGTCAGGAAGAGCCGGCAGGACCACCCCAGCCACGCGCCCCACCTCCCCAGGAGGAGCCAGGGGCTGGAGGGAAGGAGCCAGCGTGGAGCGACGGCACCGGCAGAGGCCCCCACCCGGGGAGCAGCCCCCAGAACGGGTTGCTCTACATGCCTCGCAGCAGCTGGGCCAGCATCCCGCCAGGACTCTGGCCTCACCCTGGGAATGACCGGGGCAGGCTCCGGGGCAGAGCTACAGTGCGGAGCCAGGGGACGTGGCTTCACGCGGGACACGCTTCTGGAGAGCAGCAGGGTGTGACAGTGTCCACCACCCCTGGAGGACACCGGCCCAAACAGCCAGGCTCCCAAACTGCCACTGGCCCAAATTCTTTGAAGCATAAAATGAGATGTGAATTAAGGAGAGAGAAATGACCTCTCTGCCCCCAGGCCAGGACTGGCTTGGCCAGGAGGCACCGGAGGGGCCGCCATAGGCGCCGTCATGAGAGCCCATGCAGGCCACCTTCGGTCTCACCGCTCCAGGAGCCGACCCACGTCCACAGAGCGCCACCCCTCCAGGAATTACAGTGGCTGAGAACGAAGGTGCCTTTCTTGGTTTGGAGGAAGAGTGGCCTTTTAGGAATGGAAAGTCTCCATTAAAGCAGTTCCCCCTCCAAGCTGCCCTGAAGCCTTTCAGGTTGCTAAATGGGTCCCTAGGAAAGGCACTCTATTCTGACTAGAGTTCATGGTCTTCCCTCAAAATCAGTGATTTCCAGGGGCTGGGGACCAACCAGGCTCAACCCGGAATTCCCCCTTAGAAGTTAATTCTGGTCAGAAGAGGGAGGCGGCATCCCCTCTTTGGGGTCCCTCTTCTAACAAGGCGGACTTTCCTTCCTTGGGACCTTCCCTGAACTGCAGGGCACACGTGCCGATGGGGCCGACGCCGAGGAAACAGGCTGCCCATCTAGGAAAGTCTGCTTCTCTCCTTAGTGGGCAGTTCTCAACGGGCATTTGGGAGATGCCAGGCAGAGAAAGCCCATGCGAAGTAAGTGCATTTCCCACCAAGGACTTTGAAGCTGTGTTTAAGAGTGAGGCTCTGATCATGGTAATTTACCCAGGGAGCAGTTCCAGAAAAAGAGACGCATGGACTCCTGATACAACAGGCCTCTGCCCTTCCCGAGAGCTCACGCCTTCACTCGTCCACACGCAACACCCAAGGCCCGAGGAGGACTAGCCAGGATGGACGAGACCCACCTGTCTGGGGCAAATTCTAAAGTGCCACTGTGGCCCGTGTCCATGGCGAACATCTACCAGAAAAGAAAGGGCTCCTCAAAGCACAGGGGGGCAGAGCTGCAGACCACCCTTTCCTTACCCTAAAAGCACCCCAAGTCCAACTTGGGTAAGCACAGCTTGCTCTCAGTTATGGCAGGCAGGCAGGGAATTCTGTACCCTTCTAATTTCAGGATGCTCTGTCTACAGCATCCAGGCATTCAATTGCCAGGAATGTTCTGCAGGACAGAGCATGACGGCCAAGCCAGACCTCGGCAGGGCCAGACCTGGGCCTTAGTCCAGATGAGGCCTCCGTGGCCCTGGACACAGCACAGCTCCACTGAGAATAGAGCTTCTCCACGCCTGCAGCAAGGAGAGTCAAACTGCCCTTTCTTCTACTTTGTCACCTCCCATGACCAGGGACTGGGCTGGTCTGACAGCTTTCTCCATCGGGCTGCTATCCTGGCAAGACGTCTTCGGAATCCACACCAGGCTCCTGCAGCCCTGACTGCACCCCAACCCCACGGTGAAGTGCTACTTTTCAGGAGCACAGAGCCTCGCCTCAGAAGACAATTTCTACCCACGTAGAAATTAACACATGTTAGGAGGGGACATCCACTTTGCATTTTCCAACCAGCAATGGTGCAGACGGACACAGTGAGCTGCATGCACATGCCAGAGGCCCCAACTCCCAGGTGCCAAGCTCACCGCAGGGACGGAAGGTACCATTTCCAGGTTGGGGCAGGTTGCTAGGACTGGAAAAACTGCCCAGTGCCAGAGCTGCCCCGGTAGGGTGCAGGCAGACGGGCCGAGGACTGCGGTCCACGGGCTTCCCTGCCAGATCTTGCCCTTACGCGTATCAGATCATCTACTCCTCCAAGAGGAAACGTGCCACTGCGAGACCGGGTGGCAAGGGTCACAGCAACCGTGCACACAGGATCTCTGCAGGGCTCTTCAGTAGGATAAAGGCCCCAGTCACATCTGAGCTACAGATTTTACCAGATTGAAAAATCAAATCAACAAGCCTGAGCCTCACGGATGCATCAACAAGGACAAAGCACAGGACTCTGGTTCCTGTTTCTGGTGGCAAATGGGCAGACACTGTGGCTGGGTGACACTGATGTGACCCAAGAGCAGCCTGGTGCAGGGCACCCAGGCAGCCGAAGGCCACCCCTTCTCCCTGTCAGCAGAGCCCCATTACCTTTTCTGATCTTGTCGTGAAAGTTAATGGCATCCACGGAAGCTGTGACGATGTTGGTCTTGCAGTGGCGCGCGGCCACGATCCCGGCCACCTCATCCATGAGCTTCATGGTGACACCTGTGCGGAGAAGGGGCACGTGGCTAATTAGGCAGGGGGGAGGGGAGACTATTTCCCCTGGAGATGGGTCACAGAAAACAAGGCCTTCCACCCCCGGGGTCCAGCAGGGGCCACAGTCAGTGCCGGGTGCAGAGAGCATGGCGCAGGCAGGCTGGAGCTCAGTCCGTAAACCCGGCTTCCTCCGGAGTGTCTGAGAACGGCCGAGGCTGATGTTCCAGGCTGCTAACAAAATGAAGGTCCGTTTCCTAAACTCTACAGGTATCTTATCCTGCCAGGAAAGTTTTGTTACAATATCCACCGGCATGGCTATGTCAAAAGTCAGATGACAAGTGTCAGTGAGGATGTGGAAACATCAGAAAGCTGTGTCCTGCTGGCTGGGAGGGAAACTGCTGCAGCTGCTTTGGAAACAGCTTGGAGTTTCTCAAAAGGTGAAACAGTTATATGACCCAGTGATTCCACTCCCAGGAACACACCCAAGAGAAATAAAAACAAATGTTCACAGGAGAGCTTATGCACAGATTTCAACATGATTCAGAATAGCCAAAAGTGGAAACAACCCAAATGTCTACCAGCGGAAGAAGGGACAAAGGAGGCGTGGTGTGTCCACACAGTGGAATCACCGCTGGGCAATGCGGCGACACGAAGCCCTGACGTGAGCCACAGTGGGGATGGGCCCCGAGAACCTGAGCCGAGGGACAGAAGCCAGACTCAGAAGACCAGGTACCACTGGATTCCACGCCTACAAGATGTCCAGAATAGGCAAATGGAGACACAGAAAGTGGCTTCAAGGCTGTGCAGGGCTGTGGGATTGGAGGGTGGGGAGTGACTGCTCGTGGTACAGTTTCTCTCTGGGGAGATGAAACGTCCCACAAGTGACTGTGGTGATGGCTGTAAAAAAAAAATCAATGACTTGTAACGGGTGCATATGGCCTGTGACTTGTGTCTCAACAAAGCTTGTATATAAAATAAACAAAGCAGGAAAAGGAGACTCACAGGGAGCCGAGGAGTCTTTTAAACCTCAGGCCACAGACGTTTCCTGACGCTCGCCAACCCCACCCCCAGTCCCTGCCCCCACATGACACAGTATCACACTTGTCATTCCATAGTTATGACTTGGAGCCAAATATCTTATTGGGTTGGACTACAGAAATCACCCATGTTCAACCATTTTTGACATATAAAAACAGCAAAGTGATACTGACCAACCTAATAGCTGTCAGAAATTTTATAAAGTTATGTACATTCACCCCAGGACACAGAATAATTTCTGAAAATCCAGAGGGATGCAGGAAAACAGACTGTGTGCCCCTCATGAAAGCCAGGTGCAGAGGGAATGGTGTTTAGGGTAGGGCTTACTGCAGACTCAAACGCCTGCAGGGCCAGGCAAGTTGTGCCGGAAAGAAGGGTGGCTGGCGGGGACCCTTCTAAGGACAGTGGCTGGCTCAGCCCCTGCTGCCGGCCCCACCCCCAGGAACGGGGGCCCTGAGCCACCAGCCTTCAGTGTTGCAAGAGAACCCTGGAACCCACATGTTTATGAGGAATCTACCAATTTTTAAACATTGCAGATTAATTAAAACTGTCTTTACTGTGTGGGCAAAACAAAGACAATAAAACTTAGAAAAGAACAGAAGCCCCAGAGTATTATACACGTGTAGTCGAAGACTCTACTACTGCAGAGGACTGTGGGAGACATTGGGGGGGTCCTGCTGGGAGAGGGCTACCTGGGGGCTTCCTGGGAGGTCAGCATACTTCTCTCTCCACTTTTGTGTGTATTTGAGCATTTCCAGATAAAACGGTTGTTCTGCTTTTAAAGAATAATTAGTATTCTGGAGAAAAAAACAACTATGCTTTTATCACTAAGGCTTTCTCTTGTGCAAGATCCGGCTGACTAATGATTATTAAGAACGAGGCAGTGGGGGCGGGGAGGCAGGAGAGTCGGCCGACACTCGCCATTTTAAATGCACTTTCAGAGATACGGGTGCATCAATGTGTCCAACCCATGTGAGAGGGCATGGGCACCCCCATTTTTTAAGTTAGCAACAAGGGCCCAGAGTCACACAGAGGTCCAATTCTAGAGGGTGTGAATGAAATGTGGGGAAAAGAGCTCTTTGGGAGGGAAAAATCAGGAGGGCCAGGTTTCACCCCCAGGCCTCTGAGGCTGGGGGAGGCAGCAGGCAGGGCCCCCGAGTTCACAGGTTGGTGCTCAAAGCTCTGAGACGAGGGGTCGAGCTCTGCTGGGCGAGGCGTCTCTGCTGGGCCGAGTTGCTGTCGGACAAGGACACGGCAGCACTGCCTAGCCCACCACGAGCCCTCCCGGCCCTACTACCCACAGCAAGGGGCCTCAACAAAGGCAGGGCAGAGGCCCATCAGCTGAGTCCCTAGCCCAGGACTCCAGGGTGACGACACACAACAGCACCCAGGCCGGCCATTCCTGCGCGCCAGCACCGACTGCCAGCATCGCCGCCTCAGCCCCGGAATCAGCCTCACCGTGGTGTGAGCTCGGCCCCATCCCCCGGGGGCCCAGAGGGGGCCTCTGGAGTCAGACCCTGCTGAGGTGGGGGGACACGAACACCCGTTGCCATGACCACTGCCTGGCTGGGGCCTCCGGGCACCAGATCGCCCTGTGAGCCTCGGGTCCCGCATCTGCAAGGTAGAAGAGGTGCCAGCACCCACACGCAGACGGCCACGAGGAGCAAGGGGACCAGCCCCACGCAGCTCAGTAGCAGCGGCTTTCGTTCTGAGATGGGACTAGTGGACGCCGATTTAATGAGGGACTTAGGAAGAGATCCGAGGTCGGGTGGATACACAGAAAAGGAAGGAGGTATGTCAGCATACCGAGAAATGTGCTGGGCAAGAGCCACACACTTTGCTCAGGGGACAGAGGTGGGGCCCAGGGACAGATGGCCCCACCTGGCCATGTGCCAAACGCAGAGGGCACAGAGGCAGGTGTGAGAACCACAGCCTTCCTCCTGATGTGGCTGTGGCTCCGAGTGTGTGTGCGTGTGCATTTGTGTGAGTGTGGTAAGGTGCACAGAGGGAGTGGCAGCCCAGAGACTGCCTTCTCCTGGGTGGGTTTGCCTCGTGTGACGTGAAGTCGCTTCAACAGCTGGACAGGCGGCCGCTGCTCACACATGGAGTCGGGGGGGGCTGCTGGTTTGGAATTCAGAAGGCATCTTCCCATACACCTACCCTGTGGGCAATAAACAAACACCCTCGGTGGCCAGCCAAAGCCCCTTCAGCCCGATGTAGTCGAGAGGGCGTGCCTGCCAGGAAGCATCACCATCCTGACAATGTACCTTAGGGAAATGCCAGGCAGAATCTAGGGACAGCAGAACACAGGAATGATGACAAAAGACTCCAGGGGCCACTGTGGGGGAGACGGCGAGGGCGCTTCAGAGAACCCAGGAGCTACAGCGAACGTGCACTGCGTGGCGGCTCCTGGGCAGGTGGAGACGCCACATACTCGGCATGGCAGGCCCTCCTGAGGACAAATGACACAGACACGTGGGGCTTCGAGAGAAACTGAAGAAAGGGGGCACTGAAGTCTGGCCCAGGAGACTGGAGCCATGGCCACACATATGTGCCACAGAGAAGTGACCCCGAGAGGGGAGAGGTGACCGGCACTTCCTGCCCGAGCACCCCAAAGTCACTCACGCAAGAGAACTGTTTTGTGTACTGACGTGTCCCAGATACCCACTCCAGGGTAGGCTCCTGACAAACACTGACCCTCCCTGGACAGTGTCCCTGTGAGGTAGACACGTTACAGTCTCCATTTCTCAAGGCAGGAAGCAGAGGTGCAGAGAGACACACGTCCACAGACCCAGAGGCCGCTGCTCACACATGGAGTCGGGGGGGGCTGCTGGTTTGGAATTCAGAAGGCATCTTCCCATACACCTACCCTGTGGGCAATAAACAAACACCCTCGGTGGCCAGCCAAAGCCCCTTCAGCCCGATGTAGTCGAGAGGGCGTGCCTGCCAGGAAGCATCACCATCCTGACAATGTACCTTAGGGAAATGCCAGGCAGAATCTAGGGACAGCAGAACACAGGAATGATGACAAAAGACTCCAGGGGCCACTGTGGGGGAGACGGCGAGGGCGCTTCAGAGAACCCAGGAGCTACAGCGAACGTGCACTGCGTGGCGGCTCCTGGGCAGGTGGAGACGCCACATACTCGGCATGGCAGGCCCTCCTGAGGACAAATGACACAGACACGTGGGGCTTCGAGAGAAACTGAAGAAAGGGGGCACTGAAGTCTGGCCCAGGAGACTGGAGCCATGGCCACACATATGTGCCACAGAGAAGTGACCCCGAGAGGGGAGAGGTGACCGGCACTTCCTGCCCGAGCACCCCAAAGTCACTCACGCAAGAGAACTGTTTTGTGTACTGACGTGTCCCAGATACCCACTCCAGGGTAGGCTCCTGACAAACACTGACCCTCCCTGGACAGTGTCCCTGTGAGGTAGACACGTTACAGTCTCCATTTCTCAAGGCAGGAAGCAGAGGTGCAGAGAGACACACGTCCACAGACCCAGCACTTATTCAGGGCAGAGTGGGACCCAGTCCTCGCCAAGGGCACCAGAAGCCAAACCCCACTGCCTCTCAGTCCAGGACGTGCAATACTGAGAGTCCAAGCGGAATTTCTGAGATACGATGATGGGAAAGACAGCTCAAGACCACAGCAGGGTGGGGGTGGCAGTAAAGTTAAAGTATAGTGGGGGGTGGAAGGTCATGGACCCAAGCACCCACGGGCCACCAGGTGGTGTCATGCAGGGGTCCAGTTGGGGGCAGGGAGGAGGGTAAGGAGGTAGGAAAGGAAGAAGGCATCTCAGAAGGCATCTTAGTTGGACTGGTGCTTAGAATGCACAGAGAATGTACGATTAGCCCATGTTTGTCCTGAAAAGCAGCTGCTAAGCAAGGAGACATAATCAGTTCCTTCAAACTGAGCTTTTGTCCCATTTATCCAAAAAAGCTGGTGGAGATTCCACAGGGACTTCTCAGT